GGGTGTTCTTATGCATATGCCCTCTCTTCTTATCAGCTGGACACTTCACTCTTCACTCTAGCCCTCTGTGGCTATGTCATTGACTCTGAGCCCAAGAGTCCCCAGGTCTTGTAGGGTGGCTAAATTTAACTTAAAAGTTATATACATAATAAGCAAGTCATAAACCAGGGGTAACAAATCAGATTGTCTTTAGACTTCTCCATGGTGGTGGTGGTGGTGGTGTGCTGTGGAGTCAGTTCTGACTCATAGCGACCCTGTACAGGGTTTCTGAGGCTGTAAATCTTTACAGGAGCAGAAAGCCTCATCTTTTTCCTAAGGAACAGCTGGTAGTTTCAAACTGTTGATCTTGAGGTTACGCTACCAGACTTTATTTAACCTAGAAGACAGGCAACTATGTTGAGTCCACTTTAGTCACAACAAAACAATCCTCTGTTCTGAATAAGGGAAGAATAACTGTTATTAACCTCAAGGCCAGGAGTTCAAACCCACCAGCACCTCCCTGGAAATACTATACAGGGTGACTATGAGTCAGACCCAACCAATGGTACTTGTTGTTGTTGTTGTTATGTGCCGTGGAGTCGGTTCCGACTCATAGCGACCCTGCACAGGGTTTCCGAGGATGTAAATCTTTACAGGAGCAGAACGCCTCATCTTTCTCCCACGGAACCGCTGGTAGTTTCGAACTGCTGACCTTGCGGTTCACAGCCCGATAAGTAACCACGATGCTACCAGCATAAACATGGTAGAAGTTTATTTCTTGCTTACTTAATAGCCAACCACCCTAAGTACTGTGCGCCTCACAGCTATTCAAGTGATCCTGGAGGAGACAGACTCTTCAGAGAAATGACTTTTAATATTACCTTGAGCACCAACACTCAGTTGATAGACAGGAGAAGACTGAAAGGTAGATGTGGGACATTTCTATGGACCATTCTGGAAGTGGCTCACATTACTTTTGTTCACATTCCATTGGTAAGAACTAGTCCAATTGCATGAGAGGCTAGGAAAAGTAGAACTTGGCTGGGCAACCGTTTTCAGCAGCCACTCTATACTGTACAAGGGGAGTATATGTCTTTGATGGAAAGCTGACCTTCCTGGGGTCTTTCTCTCACCTTCTGTCCTAGCTCCCTAAACACCTCCAGTTACCTTGAGGCCTTCACTTCCATGTTGACAGAACTCAACTGAGAGATGAACTGCCTAAAACAACTCACTACCAGCACTATTACTGGGAGGCTCTCGCCAATCAACATACACAGGCAACATATGCACACACACCCCGAAGAAAGTTGGATATATTGTCACTGGCTATTGAGACCTCCGGCAAATCCTACCTTTGTAAACATGTAGCACACACCATTAAGAACCAAGCTCTTTCATACACTTGAAGTGTAGCATGACCTCACATCATATGCATGTTCTTGAACTTTATATAAATGAAATCATGTTGTTTTGTAAGTACCGTCAAGTTGGTTTCTACTCATAGCGACCCTACATAGGGTTTCCGAGGCGTGAGCTTAAACTGCCAACCTTGTGCTTCAAACCAACTTTGCAGTCCAGCATATTAACCCACAGCACCATGCATACAGTATATATTCTTGTGTCTGACTTCTTTCAATAAACAATGAAACATCCATGTTGTTGCATTAACAATCGTTTGTTCCTTTCTGTTGCTGAGCTATTTTTCTATTCAATGAATACACCACAGTTTCTGTATCCATTTTCCTGTTGATAGACATTTGGGTTGCTTCTAGTATTCAGATTTCTAAATAAATCTACTGTGAACATTTTTGCACAAATCTTCTGGTGGGCATATGCATTAAATACCTAGGAGGAGAATTGCTGGACCATGTGATAGGTGTCTAGTTAGCCTTATTAGAAATGGTCAGAGTTTTTCAAAGTGGTTGGAGCACTTTCCATTCTCTCCAGCAGCATATGAAGTCTTGTTGTTGTTGTTGGGTGTTGTCCAGTCAGTTCCAATTCACAGCAGCTCTATACACAATGGAATGAAACACTGTGTGGTCCTACACCATCCTCACAGTTGTAATGTTTAAGCCCATTACTACAGCCACCGTGTCACTCCATGTCACAGGAGGTTTTCTCTTTTTTGCTGACCCTCCACTTTATCAAGCAGGATGCCCTTCTCTATGAACTGCTCCCTCCTGACAACATGTCCAAAGTATGAGAGATGAAGTCTCATCATACTCACTTCTAAGAAACATTCTGGTTGTTCTTCTTCTGGAAGTCCATGGTACTTTCTCCTCTAACACCATGATTCAAATGCATTGATTTTTCTACAGTCTTCCTTATTCCTCATCCAACTTTCACACGCACACGAGGCTATTAAAAATACCATGGCTTGTATTAGGCACACTTTCGTCCTCAAACTAACATTTTGCTCTTAGAATGTATTAGTTGCCCCTTACCCGTGTTATTATCAGTCTTTTAGTTTTTAGTCATTTTTGTGGGTATCATATTTTAATATTTTTCAAACTAGAGTCCTATAGAGTTTCAAGAACAGCCCTGCCTCCACGTCTAACAGCCATTATCCTTTGATTCATCTC